AGTAAAATTCAAATGTAAAAGCTTTAGTGCTCTTCTATTTTTTCCTTAGTTAGACAAGTTTCTGATGGTAACTTCTATCATTTTGTTGCTAACATGAATCAATGCAATTTACTATCTTTTCCTTAGACACATTTCTGATGGCAACTTCTAACATTTTCTTGCTAACATGAATCAATATGATATGGCACACAAAGTCAGCAATAGCTCAGTTTCAGAAAAAATTCCACTCCCCATATCTGATGGCTTTGTTAAATTAAGAATCCTTATAAAACCACTGTGCAGTTATTCCAGTCCTTCTATCTGCATTAGTCCACTAACAAAATATCACATTCAGGCAGTTAGTAAAGGAATTATCTGAGTTCAAAGGATCCCAGAAGTGGCTAAGGAGAAAATAATATGAAGTTTTCCTCATGGTCTCTCTCCCTCAGATCCTAGTATCATTAATCTCTTCCCTTTACATTAAAAGGTCCTATAGGCACAAACATCCTGTACTTACCCATTTATCCTGTACTGCCTGGGAAGTTGACTCAGCGACTCTGCTCAGAAAAGTCAAAATATCTGAAAAAAAAAAAAAAAGAACTAGAAAAAGATCTAGCACTTCTTCCAAACATCCAAATTTGATGCCATGCTGATTAAATAGTCAACAGGTTTCTGAATTCTGTCCAGATGCTTTTAAGTTATGCAATTCATTCCTAACCCTTGTTTCCAAGAACTCAGTAACATAATTTTGTAGAGATAAAGAAATCCATAATTGTGGCCCTGCAATCTTGTCTTTCTTTTACATACTTTCTACTATCTGGTTAACTAAAGAAGCATATATCTTTTCAAAATAATTTTTCCTTAAATTAGTATATTATTTAGAAAACATGTACAGTATCAAAATTATCTTTTTTTCAATTATCCCTGTGCTAGTTTCTTGTGTTTGTCTTTATCACTTGAGTCCTCACATTTATCCCAAACAAATCAAAGATTCCTGAGAGAATCTGGATGTGGACAGAAGAGTCCTTGGGTTTACCTCTCAGCTGTATAGTTTGGCCAGGGCTGGATGTTAAAGGCAGAAAATTGCTGTATTACATCAAGCTGTTAACACAGAGGTTTAGTGTTAATCCAGGACTCACTGAGACATTTCATATAACCTTTGAGTGGTAATCTTCCCGATATAGAATTACTCCTTCCCCTCCTACATCCAGGGTGTATACACAAAGCAAGTTTCATCCACAATGTATGGACTCCTGCTGATGCTACTTTTGTGTGTTAAGCCTGCTAAATTCTAATGCTATAATTCCATAGTTGTAGCCCCAAACTATTATGTAATCAGCCCAAATGCCAGCTGTCCAGGATTTACTAGGGCAGTATTTTAAAGGGTTGTTTTGAGCAAAAAATAAAATAAATAAATAAAGTAGAGAGTATAGATCTCATTTGAGGTGACTAAAACCATCTCTCAAGTTTTATTTTGTATTAATCTTATCTTCATTATTTTTGTCATGGATTGACTAAGCATGAGAAGTGTGGAAAATGGTATATTCTTCATTTTATGCTTTCTAGTTTCACATGAATAAGCTGTTCAGTGGAAGGAATGCAATCACAGAGATAGAGGCAACAATATAAATAGAGGGACTCAGTTCTCTAGTCAAAGGAGAAAAAGAAATTCTCATTTGATGTCAACCTAAGATTTTTGAGAAGTACCAGGTCTTTATTAATCAGTTGGTGCCAGGGAAGTGAAAAGATTCTTTTTTTTTCTTAATGTAACAGAAATACTATTTACCTTTTTTCTTTTATGATATTATAATGACCTAAGGCCAAAAATATCAAAATTCATTGCTGGAGTAATGTTTGAGATACAGTGACTGATTAGCACTCCATCAACCCTCTATCACTTTTCATATCACTTCTAACAGCGTGCTACTTCTCTTTCTCATGACTCTTAATTTTGTTCAGTTTTCACTACTGGTCTTAGGCTCAATGAATTTATTTATTCATTTGATGATTTCATCTTTTTGTTCTATCCTTTCAACTTGACACATTCTTTGCTATATTTTTAAATATTACTTAGAACAGAGCATCTTACAAGGGTAACATACACAGAATACTCTTTAGTAATAATGTGCTAATTAAATGATTGTATCCATGTTGCTAAACAGAGAAGTACACACAGCTGCAATATAGGACAGTTTCTCACAAGTACACAGAAAATATTTGTCTGTAAGTTTAAAGAAAGGCTTTGTACACTGTACTATACACAAGAATCCATTGAAGGCATTGTATTTTTCTAAGCATTTCTGTGTGTCGATAGAAACAGGGTTGATTTTATTAGGTCAAGTCAATAGGACTTGAGGGCTCACTGTTAGAAGCAGCAATCCTTTGGGATCTTTTGGTTATGATGAGACCGTGAAGAGAATAATTATCTTCTTTACGGCACCTACAACTGCAGAGAGTTTCCAGAAAATGCTACATAATTTTTTTGAGATAGGGTCTCGCTACGTAGTTCAGACTGGCCTTCAACTCACTATGTATACCAGGTTGGTCTGGAACTCACAGCAATCCTCTTGCCTCAGCCTCTCAAGTGCACCATCACACCTGGACAAAACTGCTCAACAATATCTACCCTACACCTCTACTGATACCCCATTCCTACTTCCTATTCACCACCAGCAGCATGTGACCAGCCACATTAGTGGAGAACTAACCTCTGAGGGAAGAATGAATATACAGGAGAACAGAAGGTAAGTCTGACTTCTGGGGCCCAATGATGCAAATCCCATTGTAACAAGTTGTAACTCAGATTTCATTTTCTTATACAAGCATTATTAAAACTGAAAGGTAGGAAGAGTTGAAAGAAAGCTCCCAGTATAATGTATCTGGTACATTGTGACTGACACAGATTTGTTGGCCAATCTTCAATTTTTATTGTGTCTATCCAAGGTTTACAACATAACATCTTGATATACGTATAGACAATATGATCCCTTCTTTTAAACAGCCACATTACTGAGTTTAGTTCCAAAGAATATCAAATGCAAGCTTTTGGAAGAGACAGGAAAAAACATTTGTTGTGTGACTATGTTTCAAGCACTGTATGCACAAAATTCTTCTGATATAGGCATTATTATCACTTGCATAAATAGGAGAATTGAAACTAGGAATGAATAAGCAAGTTGCCCAATTTAACATTTCTAAAAAATGTTTGCTTTTCAAACTCCTCTGGCTGATAATTTCAGGATATAATTTGTTCACAGCTTTCAAATTGCAAATATGTATTTTTAAAAAAGTATGATCGTGGGTTTATCATGTCATTTGTAAAAATTAAAACAAAAAACAAATGTATAATTCTGCCAACAAAATAAATCAAACTGTTTTCATATTTCTGCATTTCCTTCAGATTTGTTTGTGTTCATATTTTGGCTTTATAACTTAAAAACTGAAAGATGTTTGGCTAATTGCCTGATTTTTTGATACCTCAGTTTCTGTGTCTTTCAAAATGAAGGTAACAATGGTAGAACTTTCCTCACAGTTTTGTTGTGACCATTCAAGGAGCTAATAGTTGCAGTACAAGGGATGGTGCCTGGCATGTGATAAAAACTCAGCATTAACGTAAGTATGACTTCTAAACAGGGCATAAATTTGCAGAAGTGAATTGACTTACCTCTTCTGAATTTAATTCTATTGCTGCTTTTTTTTTTTTCTGTGAGAATCCTCCAAACAAGTAACAGAAGAAAAAAAAAAAAACTTTACACTTGGCCATTAAGAGAATTTTATGCTTGTTTTGGGTTTAAAACATCTCTCCAAAAGCCAATATTTTTCAGACAAATACTCTCTCTGCCTTTTAGAGTTCATCCACATGGTCCCTTCTGTATGCTTGTTGGTCTGTTCTGAAGGGAGGCTGGCCTGGTCTTTTCTGTGAGCTCTGAGTTGGTTACCTATTGCTGCCAAAACAAATTATCACAAACTCAGTGGCTTAGAACAATGCAATTATATTATCACATAATTATGGAAGACAGAAGAGTATGAGAGGGAAGATAACTCCCAACCTATTAGATGTCAGATGCGCAGAGTCTCACAACAAAGTGGAATGAAGTCAAGAACTAAGGGAAGAAGTTAGGAGACTTTTACTAGAAATAAAGATAAGAATAGCTCCTGGAGTTCCAAGAGGGTCCCAAGTGGGTGGCCACTGAGGTTTTGGTCAAGAATATTTTATATAGCAAAATCACAACATGGATACAATGTGGATCTAACTATAATCAACCTGTAGTATTACAAGTATAGTCACAGGTAATACTGATTCACTGGAGAAATGAAATATGGAAAGAAAAAAGGCATTCTTGGAAAAAACTGGGCACAGATACTCTGGCCACCCATTTGTGCAACTGATACCTATCTGGCTTACTGAAGCAGGTGGCACTAACCACTTTTTATCTTCAGGGAGGCTTTCAGGCCTGTCTATTGTGCTTCCATCAGGAGGGGTAGATCTCTTCAGATTCGCCTCCAGCCACAGTGCTGATGTCTTCATCTTTTGTTCTGCCATCCTTGAGGGTCCAATCTTTGTCTGAGTGCATATGAATTTCTGCTATCAATAATAAAAAGTTCTAAAATCAACATACCAGCAGAGATGAGTTCCTTCTAAAGACCATGGGCAAGAATTTGTTTCTCTGATTTCTTCCAGATTGAGAAACCATTCACGTTGCTTGTTATGTAGACAACATTTTGACTGCTGCTTCCAACAGCACATCTACTCTTCCTCAGAAATTCTTGCCCACATTTGGTACCTTTGTAAGGCTTTAATGATTATAGTGAGTCCACAAAGATGGTACAGGATGATCTCTATTTCATCACATATATAAAGTTCTTTGTGTAATTATATATTCATAGATTCCAGGGATTAGGATGTGGGTATCTTGTGCTTATTCTGCTTACAGAATGTTCCTGATATCGGTGTCTACTGAA